GAAACGCAGCATAATACTATATACATATGTCACAAGAACAAATATGATTCATTGCATTGCATATTAACGCATAATGTCAATTTGCGCTTAACATACACTTTGTAGAAGTTCGCCTATTAACAATCGCTGGTCTGTGCAGTCGATTAACAACAATCTGCCCATGTAATCTTCATCGAGAAACTCCCGATTTTATTTCTGTGGACAACGCACCTAGTTAACTCCAAAGCTAGCTGACTTGAGCTGAATTCACTAAAGATTCACCACTGACCATTTCTCGGACGTAGAATTCGCATGTTGGCGTGCGTCAATTCCGCAATTGATCGCTGTGCACTGTCGCTGCTTTCTTGCTGGAGACTCATACGTTAAATTTCACCGCCTAACTGAGATCTGTGATAGCATAAGTCAGACAGAATAGATGGATCATCTGAAATCAGTAAACTCTCTTTGCACTTTTGAGTAAGAACTAATTTTCTTTTGTCTACTTCAAATATCCACCCAAATATATGTTTGTCAACATGTATGTAGTTTGAATATTTAATTAAATACTCTTCGGTACATTTTCTCACATGAATACGTTTCCATTCAAATAAGCCCATGACCTTCCATCGAATACATTTCATTTGCAATAGGATTATAAACAATACCCACTACCAATTCTCGATTAATGGCCAAACCGATATACACCAATGTGGTATGCGGTGTGATGAAATTGGTGGTGCCATCTATGGGATCAATAATCCATGTGGGAGCATCAATCATCGGAATTTTGCCGCTCTCGATACACTCTCCTCGCCGATAAATTTTGATTCAGACTGTTTGCAAACCCTCGAACAAGTATCCTCTACTTGTTTATCATATACAGTTGCTAAATCGTAAGCTGCTGTTTTTGTTTAAAATCTACATCACAACGCTATCCTTCACGTATAGTGGACCACATTTCAAACCAATTCATGCAACATTATAATAGTTATTTTATTATCATCACTCTTATTTGCCATTTTTTTTTTATTTATATGTAATAGTAGCAAGACAATACGTCGTAGTATTGTGGCGTTGGTGACGTGCTTCTTCTTCTTATTAGACTATACTCGTCTGGCTTATATTCGCGACACCTCGTTGTTTGCTACTACACTGCTGTGCACTTATTGAGTAAGACATATAACTGATGTATCGCCAACACTGACACTGTAAGCATTTTCATATTGTGCTTCTTTGTTGCAAGTAAGATGAGCGTACTAGAAGAGCGCGGAACGACGAAAAAATGATAAAAGCTTGCGCAGCATAAAACCCGACGAAAAGTAACTCTTTCGGTTAGAATGTTGGAATACTATTTGTTCATGGAGTGATACCGATTTTGTGTTGTTATTTTGTTTTATAATATGTGAAATGAGTTTTATCGCGTCTCTTTATGTACTTTGCATGAAAATAAAATTTACAGATTTTTTCTTTTTGTGTACGTCCATAACAAAGCATTTAGGTATTATGTTGTTTTGTTTATTATTTTATTTTTTTTTTCTAAATTTATACCTCAAAAGCTGTATGTTGAATAAATAAAGTCATAGCCGCTTAAAACCAAATAAAAATTTAAGCAAATAATGACATATGCAAAATCAAAGCAATAAACGTTAACTGGTTGCACGAAGCTATAATACCCTTCACAAATAGAAATGTTTTCAAGTACTTGATTTTGAGCGTTCAGTTTGTATGGCAGTTATATGCTGTAGTGGTCCGATCTGAATAATTTGTACTATTGCCTTGGATAATAATGCTATAGTGGCCCGATATCGTGGACCGACAGCTGCAGCTTCTTGAAAAGAGACGATTGCAAAATTTCAGTTTGATGTCTCAAAAGCTGAGGAACTATTTGCGTATATGTAAACAGATGGACTTAAGCTTATTTCTCATACTTTGTAACTCTTATACCTTGTTCAGGTTATAAAAATATAATTACTTTCCATTGTCTCAGCGCGCTCATCGTCTTTTATCTGAGCTTATTTGCCATAAATGTGAATTAGATGCAGCTTGCTGAACAGAATGAGAATATGCAATAAAATTATAAACTACTTGCATATATAATAAGTAGATCAGACATACATATGACATCGCTCATGTATTACCTTTGTCTTCCAGAAAATCGTTTTCCATTGTTAATTGCAAAAATGTGGGTTATACTACACACATACATATAGCGCATATATAAACATACATACAATGAAACTTGAGCACTTTTATAAATATTACAACACAAATTTTATGCATGTATGTATGTATTTAATACGAAATTTAAAATACTTGCATTGTAAACAAATTTATATTTTTAGCATTTATTCATATATTACAACTTTCAATATCGATTTTCTATTACATATTTTCCTATATACATATAACCTCTAACCTTTATCACCTATTTTGTTTTGCTATTAAATCAAAATATTTGTGCATTCATTTTAAATTCTCAAAACTAAATTCTGTCAACTGATCAGCTTTATTGATCAGACCAATCACATCCTGCGCCAGTTCAGGTGTCGCTGCGGCAATGCAATCCGGTTTCAAAATCGAAAATTCACCTTTTAGGTGACACACTACGCCACCTGCTTCGCGTATTATTAACGCGCCGCCTGCTACGTCCCAAGGTTGTAGATCCTCTACAGCGAAGCAATCAATGCTGCCGCGACATACAGAGCGATATAGCAGCGCTACCAATGCCACGCAACTAAATTTCAGGAAAGGATTAAAAGTCTTTCATGTAAATATTATCTATATCAAAGTTCCCTTACCCAATGCATTGGATGCCAGTGTACATAAGCGTTTCATGTGCTTATCACGTATAGCTGGTCTTTGTATGTGACAACTCCGTGCCAATAATGCCATTTTCATCTTTGAATGATAGAAATAAATGAGGAATAATAATTAAATAATTCAATTAAAGTTAATTATTGCTAATTTTGTTATTAAAAATTTAAAAATACTAAAAATAAAAACTTAAAATTAGATGAACTTTTATTTATAAATTTTAATTTTTGTTTTAATTTTGGTAAGCCTATAAAAATAGGAACTAATTATTAAAGGAGACATATAAAAGTTAAAGAGGAAGACAAAAATAGTATTCCAAATTAAAGTAGTATAAAATAATAAAATTACAATAAAAATATTTTTAAAATAAATAAAAATCTAAAAATATAAAAGGAGAAATAATAAATATTAAAAATATATAGATAAAAGTTTCTATACAAGAGATTCTGTCGTTCAGTGGCATGACAGCTATACGCTATAGTGGTTGCGTGCAATCTATTCTTTATCTATTGTCGTCAAAACTTTGATATCAAGTTGTTTACACTCTTATATATTCTAATCTTAAAACTGCGAATCTCTCGTAAAACGTTCATCAGTAGTTTTTGTATCACTCACTTTCGTACACTTGCTCACGCTAATGGGTTTGCCATTGAGATAGGCCATTCCTTTATATGCTGAGTACATCTCATTCGCCACTGGAATATACACAATACCAACGACCAACTCTTTTTATAGCCACCCACCGATATACACCAATTTGGAAAGCGGCGTATAAAATTGGTGGTGCCATCTATGGGATCAATGATCCATGTGGGTGCATTTGTTAATACCGCTCACTATTGTTTTCCGCTGTCCCTCCTCACCGATAAATTTCGTTTCGGAATCTTTCTGTATCCAGCGATAGTAGATCCTCTACCTTCTTATCATATACGTTCACATCATAGAATGCCGATTTTGTTTTGAAATTAGCATCCTTGTTCATACCCTTCACAACGACCGGCCCATTTCATGACCAATTCCAAGCAACATTATAGTAGTTACGTATTGTTTCTGATTCGACGCTGTCAGACATATTTATTTTGTAAAATAATAATATAAAAGTGTTACGAACTGATTTTCTTTGCTTTTAAATAAAATAAATTTCGTCGACTTTTTCGAGTGATGTGCCTACACTGACTACTTAGCATTCACAAAGTTGAACTGCATTGCGTAGACTCTCCAAACGCAGAAGCGCAATACGAAGAGCAGCGTTCGGGAAAATGTAGTGTGAGAGCGTCTGCGCATTATTTCTTCCTCAATACAATACAAATTACAAAAAAAAAATATATAATAATTAAAAAAAGAGTCGCTAACGCTCAACTGCGTTACTTGATCAAATTAACGTTTATTTCAAGTAACATACCTTTGTTTGGTGATTTGTGCTTGTTGTAACAGCTCGTGTACCCTTTCAGATTTTTCACTTTCAATTCTTTGAATAGTCAAACGCTCGGTTTAAGTAATTCGATCGCAAATTTGATTCTATATCTATTTTGTATGTAATTGCAATATGTTCATAGACAATAGAATTGTACGTTGTAAATAAGGAAAATAAGTATAGATTATGAGTAAAGGTTGATTTTTAATATTAAAGTTAAGGAAATTTCTGTAAATTTGGCTGAAAATATTATAGCGATATTCAATACATTCGGGATTAGGAATTCGTTAAGTTTTCTTTGAAACTACACCGTAAGTACTTGTATTATGCATATTTTTGCATATTCATGGTAAATTCATTGCAAGAAATTTGTGACATATCTCAACATACAAATGAAATAGCAGCAGAGTGTTGCCAGTCAGGTCACACAATATATTTACGAGAATTTGTGAAAGAATCTGGAAAACAGACTCGATTGCTGGATCTTTGACGTGTGAATGAAGAGCGCATAAAGAATTTGAAAATGAGACTCTTACGTATTAAAAATTATTGTTCAAAATCAGTGGGTTTGTTTTGTAGGAAGAGTTTTATAGCTTGAGCAACGATGATTAATATTTTCTTTTCGTTAGAAGTTTTAATTGTACTAATTTTAAAAGCAAAATTAAAGTAAAAATGTAAAATTTGTTTGAAAAATTTATTTAATTATATAAAGAAATAATATTTGAAAAATTACAATATTGAATACAACAATTAGAATTTCTGTAAAACTGCTGTTTCTTCCCATTTACAATGTTCAACTAAACTTTATGGCTCCTCGCCGAACAGTTTTCACTTGATCTTTCCTTATGATCTCCTCCATTTCTTTGCGCAACGGCTCGGTGCCAGCGCATATTAAATCTGGTTTCATAATTTCAAATGGTCCACCATAGGGATGTGTTACCAACCGGCTTCGCGTATGAGCAAATAACCGGCAGCAATCCCATGGGTACATGTCTTCGATATGAAAAGCATCCAAGTTTCCGGCAGCTACCATGCATAAGGAATCCACGACACACGAATACGCGAGTAATCTGAAAGTGGCAGAAAAATAATTTCGAGTGTGAAGAGTAATTGAATGCAGAGAGTTCAAGAGCGCAAGCACATTTGTGTGTGTGCTCTCAAAGAGTGTGATTTAATTTTGTGCTTTATTTATTTATTTTCTTGATTTGTTTATTCTTGCAATTTTTGTAATGTTTCTAGGAATTTGTTTATATTGTATTTCTTGACATGCTCTCAGCAGCTCCCGCGTAGATCGCGTTCAGGGGGCTATACTTGTAGATGTTTAAATTATCCCACCACCTATTTTTAATTTATATCTTAACACTTTTTCATGGTCTAAATAAAAAACTGTAACTATTGGATAAAAATAATAGTAATATAATATAAACGTTTTATAATCGGTACCAAAAATAGGGGAAATATGTCCATATATTTTTCTATGGTCTTCATATAACCACCTCGTTCCTGACTCAGTAGAAATTATTAATTAAACAAATATAAAAGAAAATTAAATATAATATTATTCATATCAAAAAAAAAATAATAATAATAAAATAAGTAATAATAAATATAATAACAGACTGAAGTATGATATAAAATATATAAAAAATTAGTAATTGTAAGTGAAAAATTAATTAATTTAATTTAAAAAAAAAATTTAACTAAAATGAAAGTAATTGAAAACTGTGCTGTATGAGTAGGCGTGGCTGTGATCCTACTTTTCGGTAGGGGTTCTTAACGGAAAGCGTTAAGCCTAATGTGGTGGTTTACAGACCTGTACATAAACCATAATTTTATTTTTTCTGTATAAAGATATAAATTAAGCAATATTAAATAAGTTATCTTGCTTACTTAACGATTGCTTATGCTGTTATAAAAGTAGACCTTTACTTTTCTTAAATTGTATAAATATGCATAGATCCTATCAGCATTAATCTTATTTGCACAAATGACTTGCATGCGAAGAGAATACATATGTAAATGGTAAATGTTGCATTAAGGTCTTATCAGATCTTAATATGGACATACTTGTATGTATATGTATGCATGTTAGTGCTATAAGTATTATACAATTATATACTATGAGTGGTCGTTGAACATTTTGTTTGAAATTGTAGCATTGCCTTGGAAATAATCCATGCCAAACTTCCTGCAGATATCTTGTCAAATAAAAGTTTTCCTTCAAAGTCTGTTGATCGTACAGTTTGTATGGATATGCTAAGTGTTCTGATATTCGCGGTGCCGGCAAATGAACAAAATTTCAGATCGATATCTCAAAATTAGATGACTATTTTGCGTATGCCACGGTATACGTACAGACAGAGGACATGCTAAAATCGTCACGCTGATCATTTATATGTATCCGACGTTTCCCTCGGGTGTTACAAACTTCGTGACCAATTTAATATACCCTGTTCAGGAATAAAAATATACATTTGACTAACTTTTCTGAATTACAGACCTGGCGTGCAGTTGTAATATTGTATATAGTTTTCCGCACGAGACTTTAGTTTTGGCATTCAGTTTTACGATTTTTTGGTATACAATTTTGCATGTAATCTGTCAAAGAGCTGTCTATTTGGACAGTTGGCATACCAGCTATGTTACCTATACAGAACCTTCCCGTATTTGTATAATGAATGCATTTTGTTAGATATCTCTCAGAAAATGCGGCTGTTGTGAATAAATATTTAATGAAGACTTTGCGACCTGCGAAACACAACTAAATGCTCCTATTCTCAAGTAAAAGTAATTATAAATAATATACTCTGACTTATATCATGTGTGCTATGTAAATTTACTACAATGTCTAATTATCGTCTTACCTTCTAGCCGCGCCTATAGATATATACGTTTTATATGCTTGTTACGTATTTTATGCGCATGCACAACAATGACACCTCGTACGCCACATTCGCTTCCTCATCTGAAATTTATGAAAATTTATTACATACATACTCTACACACTAAATGCTTGATATTAATTACGCCATTTCAAGTGACTTACTTTAGCAATATTGCTCACATGTATGGGCTTCCCATTGCAAAAGGCGCCCCACCTAGTTTTGTTGTGTCATTTTCCTGCACCGGATTGTTGATGATGCCCAAAACGTTGCTTATTTACCGCCAAACCGATTGAGATGCCACATGCGGTATCTGTTTGATAAAGTTCGATGTGCCATCGATGGGATCAATGATCCAAGTTGGTGCGTCCGTTGCGCTTTGTCACATGATTATTTTTCGCTGTATCCTCTTCGCCGATAAACTGTCTCGGATAGCGTGCCAATACTTGTTCGATAAGAAATTCTTCAATTTTATTATCATAATCGGTGACCACATCGTAAAATGCCGTCTGATGCTGACCTGCTTGCCGGCCTCCGCGTAACCTTCGAGCAGTATTTCGCCAGCACGCTGCGCAAGCGATACATAAAGTCGAACCATTCGTTGATCAGCTGTGGACTGGCCATATTGTTTGCTTGTGCTGCGGGGTTTTTGAGTAATATTTTTCGTTAAATTGATGATTTTAATTTCTTGAAAGTGTCGCGCTTTATCTTAGTGTCTCGCTTTGTATGTATGTTTTTAAGCCTTCACCCTTCTCTATATATATATGAAATTTTCTACACAACGCTATCTATGTTGCCGCAAAAATAACGTTTACAAGCTTCAGCAAAGTTCAGCACTCAACTGATTGTTGTGTCTATCAAATGCGCTTGTCTGTGCAAAAATCTTTTGCAGCTGATCCACTCGTCTACCCTACTGATTAATAACGATTGTTGTATCTCCTGTATTTATTTCTACTTTCTATTCTGGTTTGCTCTGTTTTGTTTGTTTTGTTTTTCAATTTTAATTACAATTTGCTTGTAAATAAAAATTCTCACCGTTCATGAGTATCGGATGTAGCCAGCGCTTCAAGTTGCCATTGTCCCAGCGCATTTATTAAAATAGAGAGCTTAAATTATTGAGCTATGGCTTTGATAAATGAAATTTAGAATCGCGTAAGAAGTATTGATGATATTATATAATAAGTGGGTGCATTTCACAGTATTTGAGAATTGACGCTATTAGTTTGCTCTCAATATCTGTTAGCTAAAATAAGTAACTTTTAAGCTTTCATAACTTTGCTTATATTAGCTCAAAACATTTGGCTTCAAAAAACGTTTTCATTTGATTTTTCGTTATAAAACAATTAACTAAAATTCTTCTAGGTTTTTTACTTTATTATACTATTACAAAGTTGTAATTACTATATATCATATGTAATGCACTTTTTTCGGTTGCTTTAGCCCGGCTTATTCCTTGGTAAACTTAGTTATCTTATGTTATAAGAGCTTGTTGCTTCTCATGTCAGATTAAGAAGATTTATATTCCTTATTACTAGATAAAAAATAATCTGTATGAAAATTATGAAGAAGCTAAGGTGAAGGTAGTTCTAATTTCGGCCGAAACTAAGAATCTAACTCGTCTTGTCGGCACATAAATTTGTTGGGTGTCGCAGCTATAAGTGTAAACAACCAACTAGCATAGTCATGGGTCAACAACTATCTGAGTTCTGTTTTCTGTAAAATTTTTGCATTTATCGAAATTTGTATGGCTCTTTTAAACAAGCGTTACAATAACAAAACCTAATACCCGGTATGCAACATGTAACACTCGGGTGTAAAAGATCTACATACATATCGTATGTAATAAGAAATTTGAAATTTGAAGCTGTCATTTGTTCATATCTTCCAGCGTTCATTGTAGGTTAAACGCTATTACAGTTATTTGTATAAAGTAATTCTTATCAATGATGTAGCTTTGTAGCTTTTGTTTTTCTTACTTGCCATATAAAAGTTATATACAGTGTGTAATAAAAGTGTTGCATCACATTTCCAAAGCGAAGGCACCGATTAAAAGATCGTCAATACAATGTATTGTGGAAGAGATTTGGTAAGCTTTGCAATTTTGATATCAGGGAAGCTTGATGCTTTTTCTTAGGTATCCTAAAATTTCTGTTCCAGTATAGTTTTTTCAAAAATATATAGTAGAGAATCAAGAAATGGTTATCGAATTCTATTCTACGGTAAGAAAACCAAAACCAAAACTTTATTTCGAAAGTTTCGGACAAAAGGTATTCAAGAAATATGCTGCGTTTTAGAGGTTCGGTTTACGAAGTAAAATTATTATTTTTTTTTCAAGAAAGAAAATTCACTTAAGGCACAACATCAAAATTATACTTTATTTTAAACGGTAGTCAAAAGTCGCCCGATGGTCTTTTAAGCTTCCAAAGTCTCGGCAGTCTGATCTCATCTTGCGCCTCTATGCGACATGCTTTGTAATCGCACCTTATAAGGCTAATATGTAATAAGTAGAATATGTGGACTAGTCGTCTTTGACTTGCCTGTTTTCTGCTCGCTATTTATGCCATTTGTTGGTGAAGACGATTACTTTATATGGTCTATTTGGCGACTACATAATTTTGGTTCACACAGTACCTTGTCTACTTCGGGTTCTTATCGAAATTATAATTTTACCATTTCATTTCTCAATATTAAGCATAGCTTGTAACAATTGCTACTTAGTATCTCAATATGACGCAATAGCAACAAAAATAGTGAATGAAATATCTTGTAGGTAAAAATTATCCAGACACGGGAGAATTGACAATCACACGGACTTAATATGTATTTAGAATAATCGAAGAACAATATAAGAAATGCTTAAGAATACGGTTATTGTTCCCACCTTAATTTCGTATATTATTTTTCCAATTTAAGGGTCCACCGGCTCCCGGTCAGGGCCCACCACCCGGTGATCGTCCTGTACAGGAAAGTCTTACCGCACTACAACGCGCCATTGACACGATGGAAGAAAAGGGACTACAAGAGGATCCGCGCTACTCACAGCTACTCGCCATACGCGCCACGTCGAAGCATCAACATCTCACTGGCAATCAAGTGAATATGTTGCGCGCACAAATCACCGCCTATCGCTTGTTGGCGCGCAACAAACCGATTTCTATGCAGATGCAACAACAATTGGCACCACCACAACAACAACAGCAGCAGCAGCAACAACAGCAACAGGGTGGCGTACCGCCTGGACCACCCGGGCCGCCGGGACAACATCCGGGTGTGCCAGTACAACAACAACAGCCCCAACCGGGACCAACTGGTGCCCCGCCACCAGGTGCTGCCGGCAGCGCGGGCACACCACCGCAATGTCCAACACCGCCGGCAAGTCCATACACGCAACAGCAGGTACCCGGCGGACCAAAGTTACAGCCACCACCACCACAACATGTGCAGCAACCAACCATGCCACCAGGCGCTGGCGCACTACCAATGCCACCGCAACAAGATATGTCACATCAGTTGCCGAATGGCGCTGGCGGCAAACCGAATGCCGGTCCACCACCACAAATGATGGGTGGCGGTCAGCCACCAATTTCTTCACCAATGCCAGCAACAATGGCGCAAGTTGTGCGTCCGGGCATGCCACAGGTGCCACCCGGCATGCCGCCACAAGTAACACCAGGCATGCAAGCGCCTAAACCTGGCGCACCGCCACCACAGCAACCTATGCCGAAACCCAATCGCATAACCACAGTTGCCAAGCCGGTTGGTTTGGATCCGATTACATTGCTGCAGGAACGTGAAAACCGCATAGCATCGCGCATTTCGTTGCGCATGCAAGAGCTGCAGCGATTGCCGGCTACCATGCCGGAGGATCTACGTCTGCAAGCGGCTATAGAATTGCGTGCGCTGCGCGTGCTCAACTTCCAACGGCAACTGCGCGCCGAAATTGTACAGTGTACGCGACGCGATACAACGCTCGAGACAGCAGTCAATATTAAGGCGTACAAGCGCACAAAGCGTCAGGGTCTGCGTGAGGCGCGCGCCACCGAGAAATTGGAGAAACAACAAAAATTAGAAGCGGAGCGTAAGCGACGGCAGAAACATCAAGAATTCTTGGCAGCAGTGTTACAGCATGGCAAGGACTTTAAGGAGTATCATCGCAACAATAAAGCGCAGCTGGCGCGCGTCAACAAGGCGATTATGAATCATCACGCCAATGCGGAGCGTGAACAGAAGAAGGAGCAAGAGCGTATCGAGAAGGAGCGTATGCGTCGTTTGATGGCCGAGGATGAAGAGGGCTATCGTAAACTTATCGATCAGAAAAAAGATAAACGTTTGGCATTCCTGCTGTCGCAGACCGACGAATACATCAGCAATCTCACACAAATGGTGAAACAGCACAAGGATGATCAGAAGAAGAAGAAAGAGGAAGAGAGCAAGCGCTTGGTGCAATACAAGAAAGAGCTGCTAATGAGCGGCGAATACATGAATATCGATGAGAGCTGCATTGCAGCGGATATGCACGTCACTGTCGTTGAGCAAGCAACAGGCGCGCGTCTCTCCGGTGAAGAAGCGCCCATGTTAAAGAATTTGCACAACTGGTTAGAACGTCATCCTGGCTGGGATTGGATTGAGTCCGATTCTGATGATGAAGGTGATGCTGAGATGCGTGCAGCGAACATGCACAATAAATCAAAGGAAGAACAGGAAGAGAAGAAGTCCGAAGAGGCAGATAGTAAAGAAGCTACAAATGTCGAGGATGCTAAAGACTTCATCAAGAAAGTTAAAGTGGAAGATGATGAGTATCGTACTGAGGAGCAAACCTATTACAGTATTGCGCATACTGTACACGAAAAGGTGACCGAACAGGCAGCCATTATGGTTAACGGACAATTGAAGGAGTACCAGCTGAAGGGTTTGGAATGGTTAGTCTCATTGTACAATAACAATTTGAATGGTATTCTGGCCGATGAGATGGGTTTGGGCAAGACTATACAGACAATTTCGCTAGTTACCTACCTAATGGATCGCAAAAAGGTAAATGCAAATCGGGCATATATATAATATATATATTTATTTATACTTAACTTTCCTGTCTCTCTTTCCAAAAGGTCATGGGCCCCTATCTGATTATTGTGCCGCTCTCCACACTACCCAATTGGGTGCTGGAATTCGAAAAGTGGGCGCCTTCCGTTGGCGTCGTCAGCTATAAAGGCAGTCCACAGGGTCGTCGCTTGCTGCAGAATCAAATGCGTGCCACTAAATTTAATGTGCTACTCACCACCTACGAGTACGTCATCAAAGATAAAGCAGTGCTTGCTAAAATCCAATGGAAATACATGATTATCGATGAAGGTCATCGTATGAAGAATCACCACTGCAAGCTTACCCAAGTGTTGAACACACACTATATAGCGCCCTATCGCCTGTTGCTGACCGGTACACCGCTACAAAATAAATTGCCCGAATTGTGGGCTCTACTAAATTTCTTGCTACCATCCATCTTCAAGTCCTGCTCCACTTTTGAGCAGTGGTTTAATGCACCCTTCGCCACCACAGGCGAGAAAGTCGAATTGAATGAGGAAGAAACCATTTTGATTATTCGTCGTTTGCATAAAGTGTTGCGTCCCTTCTTGTTGCGTCGTCTCAAAAAGGAGGTGGAACATCAATTGCCCGACAAGGTTGAGTATATTATTAAATGTGACATGTCGGGTTTGCAGCGTGTGCTCTACAAGCATATGCAGAGCAAGGGTGTGCTACTTACCGATGGTTCGGAGAAGGGTAAACAGGGCAAGGGTGGCGCTAAGGCTTTGATGAATACTATTGTGCAGTTGCGTAAGCTTTGTAATCATCCATTCATGTTCCAACATATCGAGGAGAAGTATTGCGATCATACCGGCGCACACTGTGTTGCATCTGGTCCAGATCTGTATCGTGTGTCGGGCAAATTTGAATTACTCGATCGTATTTTACCGAAGTTGAAGGCCAGCAATCATCGTGTGTTGCTCTTCTGTCAGATGACACAGTGCATGACTATTATTGAGGATTATTTGAGTTGGCGTCAGTTTGGCTATTTGCGTTTGGATGGTACTACCAAGGCCGAGGATCGTGGCGAATTGTTGCGTAAATTCAATGCAAAAGGCTCAGATTATTTCGTGTTCTTGTTGTCGACACGCGCAGGTGGTTTGGGTCTCAATTTGCAAACTGCCGATACGGTTGTAATCTTTGATTCCGATTGGAATCCACATCAGGATTTGCAGGCACAAGATCGTGCGCATCGTATTGGTCAGCGCAATGAGGTGCGTGTGTTACGTTTGATGACGGTCAATTCGGTGGAGGAGCGTATCTTAGCTGCTGCGCGCTATAAGTTGAATATGGACGAAAAAGTTATTCAGGCTGGTATGTTCGATCAGAAATCGACGGGTAGTGAACGTCAACAATTCTTGCAAACGATTTTGCATCAGGATGACAATGAGGAGGAGGAGGAAAATGAGGTGCCCGATGATGAGGTTATTAATATGATGATAGCACGTAGTGAAGATGAGATAGAATTATTCAAGAAAATGGATATTGATCGCAAGAAGGAGGATGAGGAATTGCATCCAGGTAGAGAGCGTTTGATTGATGAATCTGAGCTACCCGATTGGTTGACAAAGGACGACGATGAGGTCGAGCGTTGGCATCAATATGATGAGGACACCATTTTAGGTGAGTTCCGCGTTTTAATTCGTATATGAACCGAATAAAATCGGATGGTTGAAGACGGATTGAAGTAAAGGCGGTTCAAGTTGTTTTGAACTGTTTTCGATATTATCATACCGATAAAAGCGAAATATAATTAATTTCGAAAGTGTCCTTTTCATATTTAGTTTCATATTTTTATATTAATATGTTGAATACGAATATAAATTCGTAAGTAATATCAAAACTAAATATAAACTCGCACTTATTGCACAATTCGAAGATAAAATTGAATTCTAACATAATATAGAATTTAAATTAATATAGAATTCAAAATAAGTTCAAACATAATATTTAATTCGAACATAATATCGAATTCGAACATAGTATCGAATTCGAACTTAATATCGAATGTGAACTTAATATCGAATTAAAACTTAATTTCGCATTATAGTTTCAACACGATTCTTTAGTTTCTTTATTTAACTTAAATTCTAATTTTTTTGGAACAAAATACGATGTTAATTATAAAAAATTTTGGTTCACATTTAATTCGCACATATCGACGATTTTAAATTTATATTCGCACTTAATGTCGAGTTCGAATTTAAAGTCGTAAATAATATCTGCATTCGCATTTGACGCAGAATTCGAACTTAATATCGAATTCGAACTAGAATATCCTAGTTGCTATGTACATTAAACTTAAATACTGTTTATATCTTTTAATGTTCTTTTGAATTCGTATTTCATTAATCCTCTCCTTCAATTCTTTTTTCTCTTTCGAATGTTTTCCGTCACTCATTTATTTATATTTTCTAGGTCGTGGTTCTCGTCAACGCAAAGAGGTTGACTACACGGACAGCCTCACAGAAAAAGAATGGCTCAAAGCCATTGATGATGGCGCCGAATTCGAAGAGGAGGAGGATGAAGACGATGCTAAGCGTAAGCGTCGTAAACGTAAAAACCGTAAAGATGAATCCGATGAAGATGAGTTAATTATGAAGCGACGTCGTCGCCAAAATATCGATAAGCGTCTCAAAAAACAAATGAATAAAATAATGTCAGCCGTTATTAAGTACACGAACGACGATGGACGCGTGCTCTCCGAACCGTTTATGAAGTTACCTTCACGTCAGCGTCTACCCGACTATTATGAAATTATAAAACGACCTGTGGATATTAAGAAGATTTTACAACGCATTGAAGATTGCAAATACGGTGACATCAATGAGCTGGAGAAGGACTTTGTACAACTATGTCAGAATGCACAAATCTACAATGAGGAAGCTTCACTCATCTACCTTGATTCCATTGAACTACAAAAGGTATTCGTGAGTGCACGTGCACGTGTAACGGCTGCAGCAGCAGCAGCGGCATCTGCGGCCGCCGCAGCTGGCAATGAGTCTACAAGTGGTGGCGGTGGCGGTGGCACCGCAGCTGGCTCAGAGGCTTCGGACAATGAGGAGGAGGAAGTTGGCGATGATGGTTCGGAAGATGAGGAAATTGCCACCACATCCACAGCGGCGGTGAAGATGAAATTGAAATTGAACAAGTCATTGCCTAGCGCACCGTCAACTCCAATACAGGCAGCACCAGTGAGCAGCACTGCTGCGGCTACCACCTCCAAGAAGCAAACGCGACGCAAACGTTCGCAAAAGAAGTATACTATTTTCGATGATGATGACGATGACATAGATTAGCTGCCATTGGGCGTAGTTTTTGCGCTTAGCACGCAGCAGGATTGTGTGGGCGGGGGAGGTGGTGTGAAGGCAAAGGCTAAGGCGGCGAGTTCGAAAGCTAGAAGGGTACCGAAGCATTTGGCGCATGACGACTACGATGGTGACGTTGATAATGATGAATAAGCAGCATTAAAGTTGAAATATTTCGCGTGAAATTTGTACAATTTGGCTTTCAACACAGATTTCTTCTCATAAACATTTCGTAATGGCTTCAAAGGCTAATAAACATAATCATTATTTAATAAATAGTTTTATACCACGTTAATTATTTTGCGGAAAACGGTATTTTATTAATGCGTCGCCTTTTGCGTTTTTTGAGTTTTAATAATAAATTAAATTATTATGCTATTCTCCTTCAATTACTTATTTTGCAAATGATCGATATTGTAGATTTTACGCAGCACAATTTTTAATACATATATATTTAACAACATGTTTTCTGCTATCTTAATCATAAACATATATTGCAAATGCATAAGTACTATGATTGAGTGCGTCAGCGCAATGGAATTATAAATAAAATTAATTAAAAACCAACATTGAGTTTTTTTTTTAATTTGTGACAGACAAATGACTGTTATTGTTGCCTATTGCAAAACAAAACCAAAAAAGGTTCATAAATAAAAAAGTTCCTTCCAAGAACTAGACTTTGATCGGTCAGTTTGTATGTCAGATATATGTTACAGTGGTCCGATCTGAAGAATATGTGTGGAAATTGTAGCGTTGTCTGGAAAAATAATTTGTGTCAAATTTCGTTCAAATATCTTGTCAAATAAGTAAGTTTACCTTACAAGGACTTAATTTTGATAGTTCAGGTTTTTATGGCAGCTATAAGCTATAGTGGTCCGATATCAACGGTTCCAACAAATGAGCAACTTCTTGAAAAAAGTTTGTGTTCAAAAACTTCAGATCAATATCTGAAAAGCTGAGTGCCTACTTGGCGTATATATAGACAGACGGACGTTTCCTTCTGGGTGTTACAAACTTCATGACAAACTTAATTGAGCTTGTTCAGCGTATAAAAAACGTTAACATGGTTGAATTGATTGTAGTAATCGCTACATTTCGTCTGAGGTTCCCAAAAACGGGTCCCTTCTATACTATCATAATATTGTATTTTATATTTAGCGGGGCATTTAGTGTAACTAAAATTTTGGGTTAAATTAAATTTATTTTTAAACGCCGCCATTTTGTGAATTATTACATTTTTTTTTGTCTGTAGGTCATTGTAAGGACAATATCTTCTGGTATATAATTTTTTTAGGTTTCATCTACGGTGAAGGCCGGAAACACTGCAGTCGTGGTCAAAAACCAAGTTTCCAAATTCGAGCGCCGCCGGAGATTACATGTAGCTCGAAAAATATTTTTATTAGATCTTCTAAAAGTTTAGTGTGTATTATTAAAATATGTATAGTTTAACCTTAAAGTTTGGAAACAATTGATTAAAAATTTTTTTTAATTCCCAGAAGTCGCCTTTTTTTGGCTGTCACACTAAGGGTGCCTCTTAAAGCATGACAGCGAGTAACACAGGCTCCTAACGCGGTCTGTCTTATAAGCTTAACCGAAAAATATTATACACCATCGAAATAACAGTAAACGTGGTTCATGCCAATATTTTTCTTTTCTAATACCTTACATAATATCTTTAAAATTATGATTTCAATATGCTTAACTTTGGAATTCTCAAACATATCTTTATACTTTGGCGTCTAACTTCGAAACTTTGTTTTTATTTTTCAAATACTTACATAATACCTTTATAATGTTGATTTTAATACGGAGAGTTTACTGTCGAAAATAATAGTTTTGGTCCAATAACTAGAAAAACATCGATTTTGCCGTAATAGTGCAATTTATATATACCCTGTACTTTTCTTAATGCCATTCGTTTTTTGTAAGCGTGATGACTAAAGTTAGGTCAATGTAAAAATTAAGCATTTCCATTTATTTATAGCAAAATATGTTCAATATTGCAGCTGTTTTGTCATTCTTTATGAAAAAAATGTGCAAAAATTATGTAAATTTCGCAAAATAAAAACAATTTTTTAACATGTAAACAAAATTACGTCTTGTAGAATTTATTGTTTAATTCTTGCTTGCGTACATGATATAAAAACTATTTAAGAAAAATTAGTAATTTATAAAGAGCACTTAAAACATCGTTAATTAATAGATTAGCGTAAACAAATGTGTGTACTAATTGTGCATTAGCTGAAATTAGCGAATTGCTATTGAACACATCGATAATTGAACTCACAATAGAGTTATATACAAACAATTAAAGCATCTTCCACAGAAATGCAGTCATATACAATTTTACAACTAAGCTTATTTAAATACATACTTAGCTACTTAATATGTACGTAAGTCAAGCGCAAACAATGCAACAAGTGTTTTAGCAAGGTTTTGTTTGTAAGCCAGTCGAACACGCAACGAATAAAAACAAAAGATTTCAAGAAAGTAAATAAGCGACTTACAAATGATTGTCAACTGATCGATGCAAAAATGCATTAAATTGACTCAAATGCTAAGCGCGTAAAGAGTTAAATTGTTATTAAATTAAGTCGGCGGATTTATCTAATTAGAAATGTGAACAGTTGTAAATCATTAAGTTAAATAAAATAAATGCCATGTGGCGGTTTGGTTTTAACATATTGTTCACAATTTTAGTACAAAATTAATTCTAAAAATAAAATCTGGCAATGGAAAATTTCAGGCACGAATATACAACTGTTTTTATCTTTCGCGCTAAAAAGCTTATAATTAAATTTACAAATACTAATTGCACTACAAATTTTATAACCATAAATGTTTGTAAATGCTTAAATGGCTCAACGGAAATTTACAATGGGATTTTGTTGCTTATTTTACTTTATGAAAATTAGTCTTTTTGCATTTTAACTGAACGCTTAGAATAGAAAATGAAAGTATTCATCGAAAAATTCGCTCGGATGCAAATCATCATCCTTTTCTGGGCTGCAACGCATCGCTATTTTGTGCGCATTTGAGTAGAGATCATTTATGTCTAAGTCATCATCTGTAATGGAAGAGAAAAAGAAAGGTTAAAATAATAAATAAATAATAAAAAAGTTTAGACGGAATGGTTAATTCATTTGAAGTGAGAATGTGAACAGTGTTACAAATAATGTATAAAAAAAATAATAAAATACACAAATCGCAAAAACCAGATTGAAAAGAAAAAATAAATAAATTTACATTTCTTCGCGTCGAGTCCATAGAACCGGAAAATACAAACTCGCTAAATTTTTGAAATATTGAGTAATGTAGTTTTAAGTGATGCAATACAGTCTCTACTTGTAATACCTAAGTCGGCTTTTTTCTTCGCAATATTTTAGGACGTTTTTTCGATAAAAAATAAAAAAAAACTCCCAATATATTGAAATTCGAAATTGAATGCCTACAAACCTTTATATTTCTGCTTTCTGCTCAGTCTCGATTTCGATAGTACCGCCTCATCGGCAATATCCAATTCGCTAGCCGCATTGCGACGTGAATAACGCACCGGCGGTGTTAGGAACCAATAATCATTCAATATACCACGAAAACCGGGCATCTGGCGTAGTAACTGCAAATCTTTCGGCTGTTTGGAGAGCGCTTTAAAAGCGCGCAATTGCAGACAATCCGCTTGCGATGTGGAATTTATTAAACGCACCACAGACTTGGCGGCTGTCGAACAAACCATAGCATAAAGATGGACTTCCGGATCCAGCGGTATATTCGTATATGCCACGCCCAATGAACGACGATTCAAATAGAATTCCAGTGTGCCACGCGCACGGTCCAAACAAAGGCCCACAATACAACCCTGTGAGAATTTTTGACCATAAGGCAATTGTACGCCGTTATGTTGGATTTTGCCATTGTAGGAGAAACCCCAGGATTGTGCATTCGTGCCGAGCGCCGAAACGAAATGATACTGGAATTGATTAAGTTCAACTTTATCGGTGCCAATACCGAACATCTGGAAGAAATGAGGAGAAGACAAAAGAAGAAAAAAAACACAATTTAACTATTATTTGTTAATGAACACAAAATATTGTGTGTTGTAGATAAGCACTTGAAAAAATATAAACATATATATATATATATAACAATATATGTATGTATGTACATACATAACAATTACATATTTGTAAATCACTAAGTGAGCTTAGTAACTCAAGAAAATCGTGTAATTTCAATGTGTATGCTTGTTTTTGACCCTTTTGTACGAGGTCAGCGAGTGGCTTATCAGCGCGTGTATAAGGCGCGGGCCAGCAAAAGCTTACAATACACAAATATTCTAAAAAATAACTATTTTGAATAAACTGTATGCTAAATAGGGCAAATTTGAACATTCATTACATATATGTTACATATGTAAATATGTATAGGTACATATAATAAAATTGGTACGTGCCGGTGCTCCATATAACTGCGCTGGTGCACAACTTGTCGCGCGTCAGCACCTATGTTTTATCTTTTTATTTTAAATTTCATCCAAGCTAATTAGTTACAGTTACTGATAAGATAATGTAAAGTATAAGTGCAAATAATTATAAATCTATTGGAATTATACAGACACAAGATGCTACACTATCTAATGTACCGCCTTTAAGTGCCAAAAAGCCAAAACGCAATTGAATGCAATATATGGCATATAAACTTGACATATATATGTTATGCAACTATAAATGTTATATTTGTCCAGTTATCTAAATATATTTATGACATTATTTATATAATAAAAATATTAACATTTTGTTTTTAAGGAAAGTTTCCACTCAATTGCATGTCGTATGTTTTATGCAACAATAACAAAATATATTCAATGCAAAAAAAAGACAAAAAAAAAACATTAACTTCGGTTGCAACTACTACTTTTTAAAAATTAAAAGTTTCCATACAAGAGCTTAATTTTGACCGCTCAGTTTGTATGGCAGCTACATGCTATAGTCGACCGATATCGGCGGTTCCGACAAATTAGTAGCTTTTTGGGGAGAAAAGGACGTGTGCAAAGTTTCAGATCGATATCGCAAAAACTAAGAGACTAGTTCGTGTATATACTGACAGAGAGACGGGAATGGCTAAAACGACTCGGCTCGTCATGCTGATAATTTATATATATGTGTATATATATTTTATGAGGTCTCTGACGTCTCTTTCAGGGTGTTACAAACTTCGTGGTAAACTTAACATACCCTGTTGAGGTTATAAAGATTATAACCTTAAAAAAATGTTTTTCGAATATCAAAATATTTAGCAATAAAACTCAGCTATTTACAGATAGCATTTAATTTTAAAATAAATTGACATTTTAGGCAGTTTGAACACGTTGCTATACAAATTTGTATGTAGCTCTTTAGTATGCAAGACAAGAACATATTAAACAGGCAGCTATTGTAATGACGCAAATTTAACTGAAGCTTGAATTAGCGCCGTAGTTAGCAAAAACAATATGGAGTCTAATTAATTAGCAAATATTAAACAAATAATATCGAAAAATTACAAGCTAACGAGAATTTCTTATTACTTTAGTAATTATTTTGCATGTATGTGTGTGGAAATGTATTTATTTATGTATATATGGTATATAGTGAGCTGCACTCTTGGAATTTAGCTTTAATATAGCAAAATTCTAAACAAAAAACAGATATGTACATATAAGTAACCAACAGCTAATTTTTTTCATATATACCTACATACATACATGATTAAATTTCATAATATTTTTAAGTTCAATCAAAGTATATTATATATATAAACTATTAATATCAAGCTTCGGGCTATTCTTCTTCAATTAACATTCAAATTAATTTCCAACTGTGCCAATTTTTTCAAATTAGACTATTGAAATATAAATTGTCGCATGCTGCTGTGTTGTTTTTGTTGTAGCCAGCGATCTGGCAGACTTTCGTAGTGACTTTAGGGCCACATCTCGCATTTCATCTAACATATTTAATCATACGTCACAATTCTTTAAATTAAAAGCAATTGACTGTCTTCAATCAATTGCCAACAACAATGTATTTCTGAGTGCATACATAAATAAATCAAAAAATATAAGTATATATATGCCGAGATAGATAGATATATTTATATTTCTCGCCTATATTTGTCAGGTAATGATCAAAGGAGAAATGATTTTTGATAATAATTTCACGAAGCGATTTCTTTTCTTGGGAAGCAGCAATTTTGTCAAAAAATCAAAATTTTGACTACTCTTTCCATCTTTACTTGTTACCTTTTTAGTGTCTTAGCTTATGACATATGTTTTGTTATGCATGGTGTCAGAATAACTACAATACATGCATAACACACATATTTAATTGCACTACATTTATATATTTCATAATCTTAAAATATAACTAAATTATTGTAAATCTGTTAGTTGTTGTTTTTGTGAAAATATTAGTCACAAAAGTTAGACTTATTCTTCTCTTTCGTTTACTTCATTATTGCTTTTCTATTGCAATGTTTGAACACATTTTCGCTAAATTTAGACACGAATGCAGTATGCATTAAGCGCAGAATAATAACTTCTAATTTAATGGCAAAAGGTACTACATACATACCTACAACAAAATTTCAACATTGCATTTGTTGCAATGCAAGCCTGCATAGAAACTAAACGAATATCTGCGTATGGAGACTTTATGAACGTTGGATGAGGTTATTAGGTGTCATCCAAAGCTTGAATGCAAAAGCTAAAGAACTTTGTCGACCTTATACTTGTAGATATGTACTACAAATATGTATGTGTGAATGTGTGTGTGCTTTTGACTTTAAACATAAACAATCTACAAAACATATTTTTAATAACAAATAAAAAATAAAATTAATTATTGTTTCAATTGATAACGGTAAAACATTTAATCACCAGCAGACAGTTGACACAATAAATGCATACATATACATATGTACATAAATATGCTCAGAAGATCTTTAATGCCCGCATAACGTTGACGATTGTTAGTCTGATAATAAAAAAAAATTACATAAGTATGAGTATATAATTATGAACAAAACAATGTATATGAATATATGTATGTACATATTATATATTGGTGTCATGCTATTAAACAATGTACATATGTATAAAGGTATATGAACTTAGTTTGTTTTTTACAAAAATAAATCATAAAAATTAATGATTATAACAAAGAATTTTGATAATAAACACGTACATATGTACATGGTATGTATATATGCGATTAACTGAAAAATAGTAGGTGGTATAAAACATGCACACATATGATTATACAAATATATGTACATATTTTTTAAGAAACGCAGGTGCGTAGTGCGACATACATATATGTATGTATGTATATGGACGCATATATGTATGTATATGCATGACTTCAAATAATAAATACAAGCTTTCAAGAAGAAGAACGAGTCATACTTGTTGTTAAGGAAACTATGTATTTCACGTCATTTTGTATAAAACTTGTTGATAATTCAACAAAATATTAAAATGTGATACATATTTAAATTAAATGGCTTGCCGATTTAAACTACTGTTCTACTTTAAATGAGTAAATTATAGACTAGATTGGACTAGAGAGATAAGTCTGTGAAGTCAGCAGCAAATCGTGTGCCATTTGGTCTATGATTTCAAACATATTTGTAAAATCACACTTGATAAAATTATTAAATTTCAATACTAAAAAGCAATTAAACTTAACTATAATTTCAAAGAAACCCACTTTATTTTTAAATTATTTAGTGGAACTAAATGTCTTTTAAATGTTAAAATAATTTAAAATCGGTCTCGTTATTAAAACGGCATTAAAAATTGTTTGTCAAAAACCATTATGTTGAACTATAAAAAAAATTGTTGCTTATAGAGTTAGCTGTAAATGCTAAACAACTTTATATTATTTTTTGTTGCCGTAAAAATAATAAGAGAAAAAATTATAAAAGCTATTGAAAACCACACCTAATTAATTCATTTTTACTAAAACTTACCACATCGGTGCCTGCGAGGGGCGTTATGATGCGCATTTCCCAAAAATGCACCATGCCCGTCTTGAGGGGCTGTTCACTGCGCACTATTGCTGTACCCTGACTATAGGTAGGATGAAAAGTGATGTCAGCACCTTTTATCAAGGTATCAGTTGTTTCATTCTGTTCCCAACTCCACAGAAGACCATTTGGCTGACACACTAATTCCACTGGCGTTTTCTCAACATTGTCATCCTTTGTGGCGGTATTTTCGGAAGTTTCACTTTTATTTGCCACAACACGTTCACCACATCGACAATTCACTAAATCCGGTATATATCCTTTGTAAGTGGCTAGCAGGACACTTTGCGGAAATGCACAATCACAAAACGGTTCAATGGGTCGCTGTGTAGCGTTTATGTATTGGCGACAATGAGACATTTTCTAATTCTGGAATGTTCGATATGTCTGTGGTTGTGGTTGTTGTAAGCGTGATCTATGAATGGACAAATGTTGGACAAGAGTTGTAGATATAAAATACACACAAATCGTTTGCATGCGCGCAATGAGTGATCATTTATGTATGCGTGGAAAATTCCATAAGCAACACTTTGCCGGAGTTAGTCGTACTTATGCGTACAGCGCCTACACACAGCAGAACTTGTTAACAATTTGTAATAGAGTATTTTCCCAATTTATCTGGTTAGCTAGCTAGCGCTCTTCGCGAGTTCCGTTGAGCGACTGTGACAATGCCGGTGAGTTGACTTCGGGTGTAACTTTGCGGCTCTTAATATTGATTACACGTCTATGTACATTATCTTGCGTATACTTTGTAAATTGTAAACAGTTTATATATGCTATTGTTTAAACAAAACGCCAGCTGTTGATTGTTGTTCCAAAAGCTGAATGTGCAAAGAATGGGGGGTGTGGTAAACAGTAGAGAATAATATGTTTATAAACAGCTGTTGATTATCGATAAACATACAAGTACGCTCAAACACAGAGAGGTGAGCGCTTAGGCACTTAGGTATCGAGAATAAGCGATAGTTTCTTTAAATATTTTAAATAATATTATTTAAATACAAATTTTTATGCCAAATTTAAAATAATTTTCTTTGTTTGCTATTTGTATATACAGAGTTTTATGATGAGTTTCAATGACAATTTGCATTTCTTTATCCCCACTCGTTCGACAGTTATTTATAGTGGTCATTTCTGCTTCCTTCGATGTGTAAAATTGTGATTTGTTAAATTAGTAAACGATTTCGTAATTATAAATGAATTGAGTTAAATAATAATTCTTTTGGGCGTTTCAGTGAACGAAGTATAGTGAGTTTAATGTTATATTTTATCCAACATCATTGAATTAAAAATTGAAAATTTTATTTTTAAATTGAATATGTAATAAAAATTGAAGTGCAAGAAGTTTGGGAATTCAAATTGCGAAAATTTTATAAATATATATATATATATATTCATAAATTGTAGTAACAAATTAATAAATATTTTTCAAATTAAAACTTGGACTGGATTGGATTTGGATTAAAACACTATAATTAAAAGCAATTCAATATAAATAAGACAAAAAGAGCTAAACTATGTTGATATTTTATTAAAAATAAGTTTTTATTTTCAAAAGATAACCGAAATGGTAGAACACGAAGTATGCAACGCGAAGAACTGTAAATTGTGAAACAATTTCTTTTTCTAATTTTTATTTACATATATGCTTCGGACTAAAAAAATATTTTTTGCTTTTCATATAATAATATTTATATTTTTAATAAAAAAAAAATATCCCAATAATCGGATTTTTTTATTTTTATAACTAACATATATATCAAGCATAAATAAACCTTGAATTAAACAAAATATTTTCTAACAAATTATTAGCGCTAATTTTATCAAATGACGAACGCTTTGATTTGTAATCGGAGATTTCAGTAGATGCTTTAGATATCTCACTATAAACTAGATGCGTGTGCTCCAACATATTATTTGCTATTGATTCTTTAATTTCGATCTTATGTCTTTCCAAGACTGCCGTGCTCGGAGTTTTATCAGACTCAATTAAAGCTATATCCGATATATCATTTCTAGTTGCAATACTACTACTTGCTTCTAGATCGTAACTTTCACCAAACAAGCTTTTGCTAAAACAACTTTCACTTTTTGAGCTTTCCCCGCCAAAGCGTTCACTATTGCAAAAGTCTTTTTTCACTTGATTTTCCGAACTTTTTGTCAAGGCCCGACTTATGTGTTTTGATTTCAACCTTTTCGTCATTTTAGTATAATTTTTTGTTTTGAATAACTTGTCCTCGTTAATAGACCTCTGATAAACGGCCTGTTTTCGCAAATTTAGTATGTCTTTTTTTGTCTTATTTGTGGTTGGCGTTGTATCTGTTGTTTTCTTCGAGTTAACTATTTTCGTAATTATTTTAAACGTTTGCTTTTTAAGTTGTTTATCTTCATCTATAGATCTATAATAGATTTCTATCTCAGTGCCATCTTCTGTGTTAATCACGCGCTTCAGTCTTCTTTTTCGTAGACCTTCTCCCTCGCTTGAGTTGTCTATTTTATTTCCTGTACTTGTTTCTAAATATTCATTGTAGTCTATGCCAATTAGTGGGTCTTCGGCTCTCTGCAAATTCTGTATTTCAAGCTCTCCGCTTATTTCGTCAACACTTTTATTGATAATCGAATTTTTCGGCACATTTATAAAACAGTCAACTGGTTGTAGTGTTGTCCTATACTTATTTCCATACTCATTTTCATGTTGTATAACAAGATCACCCGGTATTATTTTGGTAATAGTTTTATCTGGGTCAAAGATACATTTAAAACTCTGTGATTTCATATCGTTAATGCCTGTGACTAACGCTAACCAGCAGCTGATTGAAAATATCACTCTGATAAACTGAAAATGTGGGTGGAAGATGGTTGAAAAAAATTAGTTTTACTAACAATTTTAAAAAGTTTTTCACATACCTTCATTATTGAAGCGGATGTACTGACCTATGTTGTTCTATATATTAATATTCGTTAAACACTGAATTGCAAAATACAAACAATTTATATTAAACAAAAGGCATGAAGAGCTCATTGTAATATGTGTAACATTTCAATTTCAACGACCTTTAACTGGAGATGTGAGAGAGATATGAAAAAAGTAGTAAAAAAATCTCCAGTAAGTACCAGGAATATTTCAAATTAGAATAGTAGTCGCAACAGTGGTAGAGAGTAGTAAAAACTCTTTTTTAGCTAAAAATTTGCAGTTTCTTACATTTACTTCAGTTTTCTTAGTCTTTAACAGTATTCAACTGCGCTCAAACATTATATATTTGACTTGCTTACAAATCTTATATTGCTTTATTACAACTATAAGCTTGTCATGACTACGACTTATGACTAAAATATTACACCTGTCAACAGAACTGACTAATTTCCACAAAATTACCAATTTTTGAAAAGTAATATGAATATTAAATAAATACAGCAAATTCAGCCGAGCTGAATATGTATATGTATAATTAAAATTTCTTATTTAAATACATTAAAATGATTGAAATGTAATTTAAGAGCCCAAAAATGTCTCGTTTATAATTAAAATTACAAAAAGTATAATTTCGAACATATATAATATATGGCTGCTTTCGAGTTTTAAAATACAATCTACAGTACATTGTTTTAAAACTCATTATAATAGCCACTTGTATTACGCTTTGTTAATTCAGCTCCCTATAAAATTGCTGAATTGAATAAAAAAATTTATTTTCCCATTATAAAAGGGATAAATTTTAGTACCATATGCCAGGGGTTTAGGTATTAATAATAGCTTTCTGGTTGTAATTTTGTAAGCATTTAATAAATGCTGAATAAACATACTATTTATACTATTATTTATTATTTTTTAAAAATATGTGGAATTTGTGTAAGATTTACAATTATTATAAGTACATGTATGCCAAATATTCCTGCTGAATAGCATGGTATAAGTTAAATTTTTATTTGAAACAATTTACAACTTAAACCCATGTTTTATTCTCTTTAGCTGGACTTTTTTGAGCTGAATAGTTTCAAAATCATTTATTTATTCTCATTAGTTTGATATTTAACGACCTGAATGACTTCGGAAATTACTTGTTCAAAAAATTAAGTGCATATTTAATATTTTCGTTAGCTGAATTAATATTTTTAGAAGCTGAATGGAATTAATATAAGTGAATAGATATAGAATAACATTTGTGCTATCTACTGTTACTCTTTTCTTAAATATAATCTGCTGAATAGTTACAAATATAAAGTGATTTAATTGATTTTTTATTAAAATTAATAATTTTATCAAAATTACTAATTGATTTGGCAAGTTAAAAATATATAATAGTAAATATTTGTTATATTTTCTAAATGTTATATTTTCATTGTTTTCAGATACCTATAAGACTACTTTATTGCTCCGTATATTTAAAAGAGTCTTAACCATAACTTATTATGTGCATTTAGTTTACTGCATAGCTTAATACAGAGCTTAAAAATGTACACTTTCCATTATAATTTTCAAAATTGGTTATACTCAAATGAAAACTTGCGTTAAACGAATATTAATTACTTTTGGTTAATTAATTTTTTAGCTAAATTGCATTTTATTGTAGCTGAATTAAGTTTTATTGCGGCTGAATTGCTTTTTTTCTAACTTAATTGCATTTTTTTGTCGCTGATTTGCTTTTTTTTGCAACTGAATTGCATTTTTTACAGCTGAATTGCCTTTAAATGCTCAAAGGAGGTGTTGCATTACAACACACCAACATACATATGCTCAATAAGAGCGTTGAATAGCTTGAAATGCACTTTTACTAAGACTACATACCAAAGTGACTTGGGTAAGTTATAGGTATAGTATATAAGTACATACAATTATACACAAACAGAATTGCTATCAGGCAGCGAGGAGACTAGAACCGGGCTCAAATTCTGTTTGTGAACATACAGATATTTTTTTTACTTAAGTGTATATATGTATGTGCATAACATTTTTGTGCATGTAAGCGTATATGCATTTGTAAGCCCCCATATAGCTATATACCCCCTGTGTTGTTGACTTCTGGCAAGCGCTTACACACTTCCCCCTTTTAAGGCACAGCTAATATAGAATATACATATAAATATATATGTCATAAGTAAGTATATTTGTGTGTATGTATGGTCATACATATATACTTAAGTCGTTGGCATTGCGGCCCCACGAACGAATGAGGCATATGAATGGGTCCACTATTGAAAGCCGAGTTTTATCTCTGTATATGTATAAAAGAGAGAGATGTGTGTATATTTATCATTTATTTATTCATGCATACATACATACATTATTCCTATGTATGCACATTCACATGGACCGGGTCCGCGCATTTTATCGCATTCCGAAAACCATTTAAATTTCGCTGCCACGCACACGATGCGATCAGTACGAAATGAGCAACGCGAGTTGACGCGACCTCAGACGTGTCGCGTTCGCTGACCAGCGCGCTCCAATAGTGTGGTGTGAGCGCGCGCGTGCGCCCCCGCTCTGCGTCAAAGGTGTGCGCTGTGGGCTGTGGAGTTTTGGCGGACGAATACATACAAATGTGTATGTATGTGTGTATCGCAAGGACATCAACGAAGCTCCTGCCGTTTTCGTACTCAACACTGGTGCAAAGCTTTAAAGCTCATGGAGCTTATTTGCGTAGAAAGCTTTAACAACTCCTCGAGTGTTTAGTTGTAGCGAGCAAAATGAAGGATTAAGCAGCTTATCCAACAAAAACAACAAACAAATAATTTAAAAGCGCATAAAAGTGAGCGCAAGGAAGTTAGAGTCCTGAGAGTGCCAACTATACAACTTGAAACAAAGCGCTTTTGCAAAACATCGGCAGCATTCATCGACTCTTCGCGCCTTCTAGAGCGCGTGTCAGCATAAGTATTGAAAAATGCCGCGCTACTGCCGCCCGTGCTGTCTTATATCCTGTGGATCAGTGCAATATTATACAATTAATTTGTTTTTGTTTTCGATTTGTTTGTATGCGTGCGTGTGTATGTTTAATAATAATAATTTTAATATGAATTGAAAAAATATATATATCTTTTATATAAAATTGTGTGCTTGTGTTTTTTGTATTTGTGCGCGTTCTAAAGCTTTAATTAATTTAAGAACAACAAAACAACTTTGTGCTTTAATATTTTTATTTTGCTTAGTTTTAAGTTATTCTCGAAAACAATTTTTTACCTAATCGCATTTCAACACAAACTTTATGTATGACAACAAAATCTTCGAAAGTCTTCCATTATGTTATGCATAAATTTGTGAGTGCAACATGCGTTTAAAATTTATTTTAATTTTTAAGCTTAAATAATTATTGTAATTATTTTATGAAAAGAAACTTCAATATGTATGTAAAATATACATATAAACTTTGTAATGAAATTGAAAAAAAAAATTAAATAAAAAATTTAAAAGAAAACAAAAGCATTTAAACGACTTTTTTATTTATCAGTATTTATCTACTATTTGTAAACACCTTACACGATGTTAAGTTATTCGTTAATTGTTTTGTCTGCATTTTTTAAATTTCAGTGATCGCCTTGGTGTTATCTTACAAAAAACCCGTTCTATATGGTTTTCTCAGGGTCTTTAAAATATTTGTTTGATTCAGTGATATCTTCTTGCTGCGTACTAATTCTGTCACCTCTTATTTAGGTATTGAGTTTTAGGAAACTTTATATTGTAGTGAGTTAACCCTGGAAAATTTAGATTTTGTTCCTCTATGGGGAATCATTCTATCTTCGAAAAGTTTCTAATTTTATTTATATTTGATATGTTATGATTTTATAGGTTGAAACAAGCTTCTGATACTTCTTAACAAGTTCGTTCGGAGATATAGGTTAATATTTTTATCTTGTCTATCACGTCTCATTTTCATCTCCATATTCGATAGGGTATAAAAAGGTTACAAAAGTATTCGAAGATGATGTAGATTTCGAACAGCTACGATTTTTAAGTGAACTTTTAATTACATACATATTGAATTAATTTTACCAGAAAATTTAAAAAATTCTCTTCAAAAACTTTTAGTTTGTATGTGCTTAACGATTTTATTTTATGAATTGATGCCACAGTTAAGAATCATATAATTAATGTGCCACAATATTTGTCGTTATAACTATACATCCATATGTCCAATTCTTTTAAACTTTTTCAATAAATCTGCTTCTACATTGTAGCCATTAATGAAACTCGATATCATAAAAAAATTGTGGAGCTTCGGCTGCAAGTGTGGCTCGTATTCATATATACACATACCCAGCCATATACATACATACTTGTATATAGATATGTGTAGTATAGTATCTATAAATATATCTAGCTAAGCATTTATGGCAAGCTTTAAAATTTTGCAAACATATTATACATATGGTATGTACGTACACTTGTGTGCATGTGTAATATGAGCTCGCAAAAAGCTGTTGCAAATGAAGTCATAAAAATTTGAATTCGCATAACGAAATCATTGAGCGGCTCATAAAAATTCGTTAAAATGAGGCAGCATGGAATTTCATTGTAAAATATGTTGTGGTTTAGCAAACAATATTTCCAGTTATGCAGAAAGCGCATGAAAGGTAATACGCGTTTTGAAGAATTAGTTTTTAATCATAATTTTTTCAAACGAAATAATTTTATAAATAAAATTAAATTTAAAGATTATTTTGATTATTAAAATGTTTGTCTGTTATTAATTATATTAATTTAACTAATTAGTTTGAGAAGATAATAATGGAATTATTAGAATTGTTCATATATAATCGCTTCTGATTTTCTGTGTCTAATTAAATTAACATTGTTTAAGTATTTTTTAGAATTATAAATTTAGTGAAAATATATTATGTAGTATTGTCAGCATAAGTTGTCATGAGGTCTTTATATAATAAATATTAAATTTGTATTTGATAAATAATTTTGTATATATAAAACAAATATTATATTATTTATTATATAATTTTCAGTTTTAATTTAAATTTATTTATTATTTTGTTATTTATTTTTATTTATATTTTTTAGATATTTTATTTTATTTTTTAGGCTAACAAAAAAAATAAGAGGTTCAGCTTTTTGGAGT